AATGCCTAATTGTATCATTATTCTTTCTGGTGGAGAATGAGAGCTGAACCTCAACATAGAATGTGTACTTAGTACTTCTAGTTCTGATCTCAGTTGCTTCTGAAGAGATCAGTCTAATTTTTTAAATAGTATTTATCATTTTTCAAATATAAGCATGCTACATATATTTTGGTGAAAAGTGCTAACTTCTAGTTACTGGGTTATATCTCTGAAGTCTCTAACATCAGATAATTAGAAATGGAATCTGCTTGAATGGCTTACTAGCTTGTACTATAAAGAATTAATGGTCAAGCACTCAATGATTTTGAGATTTGTGAATACTGAGATTACAAGATTTAGAGGCTTTAAACTTCTGAAAATTAATGTTTGTATTTCTTTCCACTTAGTGTATAGTAAGTTAGCTTGTCTTTTTTTAATGATTTTTTTTTTTTCCCCCAGAGAAAATCTTCAGGATAGGAATACTGCAGAGGTTGTTTCTGCATTTAAAAAAAAAAAAAGTGTACTTAATTTATTTAAAAATTGACATCACAGCTATTTGTGTTGTTTCCACAAACTATAAACTTGAATTTTGCTTGTTATGCCACTATCAGTTTAAGTATTGTAGTGTAGCTGTTGTTCCTGCAGTGTCAGTTGGTTTTTAAATACTTTTTAAAGGAGTATAATATGTGAATGAAGGAAATGTCTCTGTCTGAAAACTATCTTTTTCAGGTGTTTCTCATCATCCTGCTTTAAAAGAGTTAATTAAGGAGTGAAAAAAAATTAAGTTAAAAGAGAAACCTGCCTGTTATTGGCGTTTCTTTACTGACTGCTTTGAGAGTTGAACCTGAGTTTCAGACCCAGATCTAGAAGAGAACATTACTGTTTAACTATACTGTTTATATAGAACCTGGCTGCCTCAAGCTACAGTTGTCCTTCTGAAAATCTTTGCTGTGTAACAATGAAGACCAAAGGACCGTGTAGATTTTTGCATTCCTGTGCCTGTACAGCAGGGAACCAGCACGTTCTGCAAGGATGGCTAACACTAACCAAACTTACTGGAAGACAGAGCAATGGCCTGCACTTCAAAACATGCTGAAAGAAACACTTTACCTTTGTGCTCCCGCCTGTGTATGTACAGTAGCAATTAGAAGATGCCATTTATGAATTTAATTTACTTACCATTTTGATGATGATAAGTCTGGATGAACAATCTGGAATATTGTTTGGCAAGCGAGTACTGTAAGAAAGTAGTCAGACTGTTCTCCTGCTTTGCAGTCCAGTGTTGCCTTTTCCTTCGTGTTAGGACACAAGCATCGTGGCTATTTGTGCACCAATATACATGGGTACTCCCATAGCCATATCCTCGCTGTTCTAACCAGCGCGTGTACCGTGAGAGAAAGCTAAACACGAGAGCACAACTGTATCTTATGGATAAGTTTGGGTTGTTTTTTTTTTTTAAAAAAAAGGTCTCCTTCAGCTTTTTCAAAGGGAAGGGTAAATAGACATCTCCCAAGACTGTCAATTATAGAAGTGAAAGGTAATACTTTAAATCCTGTTGAGCAACATGATTTAAGAGTATCTCCTCCTTTTCCCTGTGTTTCATATTCTCTTGTGATAAATATTGCTCTGGCTACTTCTGTATCTTGCCTCTCTCATTGCACTCCAGGGGCTGCCTGGGCATTTTCCAGAAAGTTTGAGTTACAGTGGCAGCAGCTGGTCATAATTACCTTACAAGGGTCTGACTTTTATTTTTCTGCATGCTGGCTGTCATATCCTGACATGTCAGAGTACCTTATTTTTCTCTGTCACCCTTTGTGCTGCTGCTGTTGGTGTACTATGGTGTGTTCCAGTGTGGGAACAACTGAATGATTTATTTTTCACTGTGTTATTCTTTTTTTTTTTTAATAGACATTAAGTATTCTGAGGTGTGGTTTTTTTTAATCCAAACTTATTATCATCAAAAAGAGGGAAGAGGGGGAAAAAAAAAAACCAACTAGGGAAGATTAAGTTTTAATATTTTATCAGATGTGAGGTTTCTATGTTCTGTTTATATGAGGGGGAAAGTCGAAACTGAAGATGATGGTAAAACTTTGTGCTGGGTTAATGCGATGAGGTTTTGGTAGCAGGGGAGGGGCTGCAGAGATGGCCCCTGTACGGAGCTGTGAGAAGTTTCCCCAGCTCCAAAACCAGTCAGACCAGTCTCTGGCCAGGTCAGACACCCCACTCCCTCCTCCTGGCCAGGGCTGAGCCAAACAGCACCTCTGCGAATGCCCTGTTTAGGACAGGGACAAAGTAACCCGAACTGGGCTGGACCTGCCCTGAACAGAGCAAGGAGGTGGGCAGCTGCCCACGCTGGGCTGCTGCCATCCCACTGGAGATGGCTGCAGCGGTGTGGCTTGGAGAGCTCTGAAGCGCCTCGCTCCCAGGGCACTTGTGAGCGGAGTTTGTCCTGCTGGGA